ACCCCATGGGGCAGGCGCTATGGGGCAGGCGCTATGGGGCACTCACCATGGGTCAGATGCAACGGGGCAGCCATGGGGCACCCCCAATGAGACAGGCGCAATGGGGCAGCCATGGGGCAGGCGCTATGGGGCACTCACCATGGGTCAGCTGCAACGGGGCAGCCATGGGGCACCCGCAATGAGACAGGCGCAATGGGGCAGCCATGGGGCAGGCGCTATGGGGCACTCACCATGGGTCAGCTGCAACGGGGCAGCCATGGGGCACCGCAATGGGACAGGCGCAATGGGGCAGCCATGGGACAGGCGCTATGGGGCAGCCATGGGGCACGTTTATTGTCCAGCAACACACAACGAAGGCAATAAATAGGGAGAGGACGGGATGGGTGCGATAAGAGGGGGACCCCCCACTATGGTGCAGGGGTTGTGGGGGGGGGCAGGCCTCTGGCTATGGGGCAGAAGATGGAAAACCCCCGTCTGGGGTGGCTCAGGAAGCAGCATGGGGCAGGAACCTGACCCGCTATGGGGCAGCCCCGTAGGTGCCAGAAACCCCCAGCCCCCCCCCGGCAATGGTTATGGGGGGGTGTTTGCCCCATAGCCGTGGCTCACTCCCCGGAGGGCACGGGCAGGGGGGGCCCGCGGGGGTCGTCGAAGCGATCCATGGGGCGCAGGCGCAGGAGCAGGGCCCCCCCATAGCAGAGCCCCCCCAGGAGCAGCGCCCCCGTCACCAGCCCCATCCAGGTCCCCGGCGAGAAGAAGGCGGCGCAGTCGCTCGCCCCCCCGAAGACCCCCCCGGAGACGTTGAAGGCTTGAACCTGGGTGGGGGGAGCCCCAATATTAGAGGGGGGTCCCCCCCATAGAATCCTCCCTTCCTCCTCCTCCTCCCCCCCCATAAGCTTTGGGGCCCTGCCCCCATCCCAGTGCCCACACTTATTTAACCCCCCCTGTACCCCAATATATAGTTCCCCCCGCATTCTTTACCCCAATACCCCCCATGTTTTGGGGTTCCCCCATATTTTGTGTTCCCCCCATGTTTTGGGCACCCTGCCATATTTTGGGCCCCCCCTATATATTTTGGGCACCCCCCGATGTTTTCGGACCCCCCCCCCAATGTTTTAGCTCCCTCCCGTATTTTGGAGCCCCCATACATTGGGCCCCCCATGTTTTGACCCTCCTATATTTTAGGGTGCCCCCCATATTTTGGGCACCCCCCCATGTTTTGGGACCCCCCCCCCCGTACCTGCACATCGAGCAGCCTCAGGCTCCAGTCGCTGGCGGGGCCGGGGGGGTCGGGGGGCAGCAGGAAGGGGCCGGGGGCCCCCAGCTCCCCACAGCGCCAGCCCAGGGGGGTGGGGGCCGCCCCCTCCCGGCCCAGGAAGCGCCCGGGGGGGCCCCCCCCCAGCGAGAGCCCAACCTCAGCGAGCCAGGCCCAGGAGCGCGCCGAGACCGGGAACCAGGCGCGGCGCAGGACGAAGCTGGGGGGGAGGGACCCAAAGGCACCAAAATCAGCACAAAATGACCCAAAATCGGCACAAAATGCACCAAAATCAGCACAAAATGAACCAAAATCGGCACAAAATGAACCAAAATCGGCACAAAATGAACCAAAATCGGCACAAAATGACCCAAAATCGGCACAAAATGCACCAAAAACAGTATAAAATGCACCAAAATCAGCACAAAATGAACCAAAATCGGCACAAAATGCACCAAAATCAGTATAAAATGCACCAAAATCGGCACAAAATGCACCAAAATCAGTATAAAATGAACCAAAATCGGCACAAAATGCACCAAAATCGGCACAAAATGCACCAAAAACAGCATAAAATGCACCAAAATCGGCACAAAATGAACCAAAATCCACCAAAATCGGCACAAAATGCACCAAAATCAGCACAAAATGCACCAAAATCGGCACAAAATGCACCAAAATCGGCACAAAATGCACCAAAATCGGCACAAAATGAACCAAAATTGGCACAAAATGAACCAAAATCGGCACAAATTGAACCAAAATCGGCACAAATTGAACCAAAATCGGCACAAAATGCACCAAAATCAGTATAAAATGCACCAAAATCAGCACAAAATGAACCAAAATCGGCACAAAATGCACCAAAATCAACCAAAATCGGCACAAAATGAACCAAAATCGGCACAAAATGAACCGAAAACGGCACAAAATGAACCAAAATCAACCAAAATCGGCCCAAAATGAAACAAAATCGGCACAAAATGAACCAAAATTCGCCAAAGTTGGCGCAAAATCAGCACAAAATGAACTCAAGTCAACCCAAAATGAATCAATATTGGCCCAAAATGCACCAAAATCAGCACAAAATGCACCAAAATCAGCACAAAATGCACCAAAATCAGCACAAAATGCACCAAAATCAGCACAAAATGCACCAAAATCAGCACAAAATACCCCAAAACGGACCAAAAAAAGCCCAGAACAGACCCGACCCCCCCAACCCCCCCACTCACGTGATGTTCAGGGTGCCCCCAAAGACGTCGTCGTATTTGAGCACCAGCCTAAAGGGGGGAGGGGGGTCAGGAGCAACCCAAACCCCGCGGGACCCCCCCAGCACCCCATAACCCCATTAAGAGCCCACATTCTCCCCATAGCCTCCCTATCACCCCCTACTTGCCCCCATAGCCCTATTCAGGACCACCATTACCCCCCATAGCCTCCCCATTCACCCCCATAGCCCCCCATTCACCATTACCCCCCCATAGCCTCCCCATTCACCCCCATAGCCCCCCATTCACCATTACCCCCCCATAGCCTCCCCATTCACCCCCATTACCCCCCATTCACCATTACCCCCCCATAGCCTCCCCATTCACCCCCATAGCCTCCCCATTCACCATTACCCCCCCATAGCCTCCCCATTCACCCCCATTACCCCCCATTCACCATTACCCCCCCATAGCCTCCCCATTCACCCCCATAGCCCCCCCCATTCACCATTACCCCCCCATAGCCCCCCATTCACCCCCATAGCCCCCCCATTCACCATTACCCCCCCCATAGCCCCCCCATTCACCATTACCCCCCCATAGCCTCCCCATTCACCCCCATTACCCCCCATTCACCATTACCCCCACATAGCCCCCCATTCACCCCATTAACCCCTCCACAGCCATTCACCCCCATCAGCCCCCCTATTCACGCCAATTACCCCCTCCATAGATCCCCCATACCCCCCATGACCCCCCTTCACCCCCATGACCCCCCATTCACCCCCATTACCCCCCATAGCCCCCCCCATTTACCCCCCATTCACCCCCCATCACCCCCTTTCACCCCCCATCACCCCCCATAGCCGCATTTACCCCCCCATCACCCCCATTCACCCCCATTACCCCCCATAGCCCCCCCATTTACCCCTCCATCACCCCCATTCACCCCCATTACCCCCCATAGCCCCATTTACCCATTTACCCCCCCATTCAGCCCCATTACCCCCCCATTTACCCCTCCATCACCCCCATGACCCCCCATTACCCCCCATACCCCCCATTTACCCCCCATCACCCCCATTTACCCCCCATTCACCATTACCCCCCATCCACCCCCATTCAGCCCCCATTTACCCCCCCATTCACCCCCATTACCCCCCCATTTACCCCCCATCACCCCCATTCACCCCCCATTACCCCCATTACCCCTCCATTTACCCCCCCATCACCCCATTCACCCCCATTACCCCCCATAGCCCTCCGTTTACCTCTCCATCACCCCCTTTCACCCCCATTACCCCCCATTCACCCCCTTTCACCCCCATCACCCCCATCACCCCCCATTCACCCCATTACCCCCCATAGCCCCATTTACCCCCCATTCACCCCCTTTCACCCCCATTCACCCCCATTACCCCCCATAGCCCCCCCATTTACCCCTCCATCACCCCCATTCACCCCCCATTCACCCCCATTCACCCCCCATTCACCCCCATTCACCCCCATTACGCCCCATAGCCCCCCCATTTACCCCCACATTCACCTCCCATCACCCCCATTCACCCCCATTACCCCCCCATTCACCCCCATCACCCCCCATCACCCCCATCACCCCCCCATTTACCCCCCCATCACCCCCATTCACCCCCATTACCCCCCATAGCCCCATTTACCCCCCATTCACCCCCCATCACCCCCCACAGCCCCCCCATTTACCCCCCCATTCACCCCCATTCACCCCCATCACCCCCCAATTCCCCCCCATGACCCCCACCCCCCCCCGCTCTCACCTCGCCTCCCCGGGCTCCCACGAGGACCCCCCCAGGTCCACGCCGCCCCCCCCGAAGGTGCGGGCGCTCAGGTCCCGCTGCTGCCCCCTGTAGGTGACCGAGAGGTTCCGCGCCCACAGCAGGATCCGCGCGGGGCCCGCCGGGGGCCAGCGCAGGGGCGCGGGGGGCGTGGTCTGCGGCTCCGGCCCCGCCCCTTCCTCCTCGGGCCCCGCCCCCAGCAGGGCCCGCCCGTGGGGCAGCAGCGGAGCCCCCCCGGGCCCTTGGGATACCTGAAAGGGGGGGACGACGACACACATGGGGGTCAGTGGGGGGTATGGGGGGACATGGGGGTCAAGGGAGGTGATGGGGGGCACTTGGGGAGCAGAGGGGGGTATGGGGGGACATGGGGGTCAAGGGAGGTGATGGGGGGCACTTGGGGAGCAGGTCAGTGGGGGGCACTTAGGCAGGTCAGTGATGGGGGGCACTTGGGGGGCAGGGGGGTAGTCAGAGGGGGTATGGGGGGACATGGGGGTCAAGGGAGGTGATGGGGGGCACTTGGGGGGCAGAGGGGGTATGGGGGGACATGGGGGTCAAGGGAGGTGATGGGGGGCACTTGGGGAGCAGAGGGGGGTAGGCAGGTCAGTGGGGGGCACTTGGGGGGCAGAGGGGGTATGGGGGGACATGGGGGTCAAGGGAGGTGATGGGGGGCACTTGGGGAGCAGAGAGGGGGTGGGGGTCAAGGGAGGTGATGGGGGCACATGGGGGTCAAGGCAGAGGTGATGGGGGGACTCAAGGGAGGTGATGGGGGGGTATGGGGGGACATGGGGGTCAAGGGAGGTGATGGGGGGCACTTGGGGAGCAGAGGGGGGTATGGGGGGACATGGGGGTCAAGGGAGGTGATGGGGGGCACTTGGGGAGCAGAGGGGGGTATGGGGGTACATGGGGTTAAATGAAGGGGATGGGGGGCACTGGGGGAGCAGAGGGGGTATGGGGGGACATGGGGGTCAAGGGAGGTGATGGGGGGCACTTGGGGAGCAGAGGGGGGGTAGGCAGGTCAGTGGGGGGCACTTAGGGGGCTGAGGAGTCACTTGGGGGGCAGTGGGAGATGTGGGGGTGAGTTGGGGGCAGCAAGGGGCATGGGAGGGGCATGGGGGGCTGTGGGGCACAGTGGGGCAGGGCTTGGGCTGTGTGGGGTGCTATGGGGCAGATCTGGGGTTGCTATGGGGCTGGCCATGGCACATTATAGTCACTATGTGTCACTATGGGGTGCAATGGGGCAAGGTTGGGGAGTGTTATGGGGTGCTATGGGGCAGGACTGAGAGTGCTATGGGGCAGATCTGGGGTTGCTATGGGGCACTGTGAGGCTGGGCACGGCAAACTATAATCACTATGCGTCACTATGGGGTGCCATGGGGCGCTATGAGGCAGGGCAAGGGGTGCTCTGGGGATGGCCATGGGGTGCTATAGGGCGCTATGGGGCAGGGACGCACGTGGGACGGCTGCAGGGCAGTGAACAGGGCCGTGTAGGGCACGTCCTCCTCCTTGAGCGCACTCAGCACCTGCCCCAGGATCTCATCTATGGAGCAGAGGGGCGGGGGGGGTCAGTGTGTGGGGCAGCCCCACAGTGCGACCCCCAAGTGCTCCCAGTCCCACCCCACTCACCATTACTGGTCAGCACCTCCCTGGGAGCCATGAGGCTGGAGCTGGGGGGTAGAAGAGTGAGAATATGGGGCAGCCATGGGGCGCTACGGGGCAGCTATGGGGCGCTATGGGGCACGTACCCAGCCGTGTGGGGCAGGCGCAGCAGCAGCAGCGCAGGCAGGCTCGTGTTGAGCCGCAGCAGCCTCAGGGCGGCTCCATCCACGCGCAGTGGGGCAGCCCCCAGGGCCTGGCTCAAGGTGTGGGGCAGGGCCCCCACGGCGCCCCCAGCCACCGCCGGCAGCACCAGTGCTGAGCCTGCGGCCCCCAGTGCGCCCTGGGGGGGGGCAAAAGGAGGGTTATGGGGGGAATCCACCCCAGCCCCACAAGTGACCCCCACCACCATCCCCAGCCCCATGAGTGACCCCCATCACCTCCTCCAGCCCCACAAGTGACCCCTACCACCCCCTCCAGCCCCACGAGTGACCCCCATCACCCCCTCCAGCCCCATAAGTGACCGCCATCGCTACCCCCAGCCCCGTAAGTGGCCCTTGTAACCACCCCTACTCGCATAAGTGACCCCATCACCACCCTAGCCCCATAAGTGACTGCCATCGCTACCCCCAGCCCCATAAGTGGCCCTTGTAACCACCCCTACCCGCATAAGCGACCCCATCACCACCCTAGCCCCATAAGTGACCGCCATCGCTACCCGCAGCCCCATAAGTGACCGCCATCGCTACCCGCAGCCCTGTGACCCCCAGCCCTACAAGTGACCCCCATCACCACCCCCAGCCCCATAAGTGACCGCCATCGCTACCCGCAGCCCCATAAGTGACCGCCATCGCTACCCGCAGCCCTGTGACCCCCGAGCCCTACAAGTGACCCCCATGAGCACCCCCAGCCCCACAAGTGACCCCCCCTCACCTCCAGGTTGGGGAAGGCGCTGTCAGGTTTGTTCCCATAGACCCCCCCATAGGCAGTGAAGTCTTCGATGCTGAGCTGGGGGGAGGAATGAGAGCGGTCACGTGAGAGGAGGGGGCGTGGCCACGAGACCAGTCACTCTCACGCGCTGGGAGGGGGGAAGCATGGACGGGACCAAGTTCCCCTTTTAAGGGGGTGGGGGGGACCCCATATGGGGGGGAAGGGTTGGAGGGGGAAAAGGGAGAAATGGGTGGGCTAGGGGGGTAAAAGGGGAATTGGGGGTAAATGGGGGGGTTAAAAAGAGGGGGGCTATGGGGGTAAATGGGGGGGTTAAAGAGGAAAAGGGGGCTATGGGGGTAAATGGGGGAGTAAAGGGGGAATTGGGGGTAAATAGGGGGGTTAAAGAGGAAATGAGGGGGCTATGGGGGTAAATGGGGGGGTAAAGGGGGAAATGGGGGGGTTAAAGAGGAAAAGAGGGGGCTATGGGGGTAAATGGGGGGTAAAGGGGGAATTGGGGGTAAATGGGGGGGTTAAAGAGGAAAAGAGGGGGCTATGGGGGTAAATGGGGGGGTTAAAGAGGAAAAGAGGGGCCTATGGGGGTAAATGGGAGGGTTAAAGGGGGAATTGGGGGGCAGGAGGACAAACAGGGAGCGCAAGGACAGAAATGGGAAGTCCGGGGGAGGGGAATGGGGTTCAATGGGGCTCGGGGGGATCAATGGGGCTCGGGGGGTTCAATGGGGCTCGGGGGGGATCAATGGGGCTCGGGGGGTTCAATGGGTTTCAGGGGGATCAATGGGGCTCGAGGGGTTCAATGGGTCTCGGGGGGTTCAATGGGGCTCGGGGGGGTCAATGGGGCTCGGATGGATCAATGGGGCTCGGGGGGGTCAATGGGGCTCGGGGGGGATCAATGGGGCTCGGGGGGTCAATGGGGCTCTCTGGGGGTTCAATGGGGCTCGGGGGCTTCAATGGGGTTCAATGTTCAATGGGGCTCATGGGGGGGGGTCAATGGGGCTCGGGGGGATCAATGGGGCCCGGGGGGTTCAATGGGGCTCGGGGGGTTCAATGGGGCTCGGGTGGATCAATGGGGCTCGGGGGGGGCTCGGGGGGGGGGTTCAATGGGGCTCGGGGGAGTCAATGGGGCTCGGGGGGTTCAATGGGGCTCGGGGGGTTCAATGGGGTCGGGGGGATGGGTGGATCAATGGGGCTCGGGGGGGTCAATGGGGCTCGGGGGGTTCAATGGGGCTCGGGGGGGTCAATGGGGCTCGGGGGGATCAATGGGGCTCGGGGGGGTCAATGGGGCTCGGGGGGTTCAATGGGGCTCGGGGGGTTCAATGGGGCTCGGGGGTTCAATGGGGCTCGGGGGGTTCAATGGGGCTCGGGGGGGGTCAATGGGGACCGGGGTTCAATGGGGCTCGGGGGGTTCAATGGGGCTCGGGGGGATCAATGGGGCTCGGGGGGTCAATGGGGTCAATGGGGCTCTCTCAATGGGTGGGGGATCAATGGGGCTCTCGGGGGGTTCAATGGGGCTCTGGGGGTTCAATGGGTCTTGGGCTCTCGGGTGGTTCAATGGGGCTCGGGGGTTCAATGGGGCTCTATGGGGGTTCAATGGGGCTCTATGGGGCTCTCTGGGGGTTCAATGGGGCTCGGGTCGATGGGATCAATGGGGCCGGGGGGGTCAATGGGGGGGTTCAATGGGGCGGGGGGGGGGGATGGGGCTCAATGGGGCTCAATGGGGCTCGGGGGGTTCAATGGGGCTCGGGGGCCCCCACCTTGTCCTGCAGCACCAGCAGCACCGTGCGGGGCCCGCGCTCCAGGGCCGGGCCCAGCAGCTCCCGCAGCGCCTCCTCCGTCACCACCCGGCCCCCGGCTCCCGGCGGCGGCCACAGGGCCCTGCGGGGAGGCGGAAAACGGGGGTCGGGGCCCGGTGCGGCCGAGCCGCGGAGCCCCGAGCGCCGCCCCCCATCCCCGGCCCCACCTCCGCGTGGACCAGGCCAGCAGCGGCACCTGCGCGGCCCGGCCCGGGGCCAGGCCCAGGCTCAGCCCCAAGGCCCCGGCCCAGAGCAGGGCCCGGGCCCGCAGCGCGGCCGCCAGCGCCGCCGCCATCTTGGTTCTGAGCCCGCCCGCCCCCGGTAGCCACGCCCCGTAAAGCGTGGCCACGCCCGCTGCGGCGCGGGAGCCAATCGGAGCCGAGTCCGCCATCTTGGCGTCGTTCCAGCCAATCGCTG